GTGTCCAGTTTTCCTGTAATGAGTAATGAGAACTGACATGGCTGAGATGGTGTTAGTTTCAGTTGATATTGACAGATTACGTCTTTTTCATGCAGATGCTGTATGTCCCTATGTTAGCGGATGATTTCTACATCAATCCTATTGACTGGTCATCACAAAATATATTGAGCTTGGGCTTAAGAAACCGTACATATATTTGGTCTGCTCGCACTGAGTAAGTCGCAGTGTTGTGTAATCTATCTGAAAGTGGCCACTCTGTAACCTCAGTTGCATGGAATGAGCAGGTGAGGCCTAATTCCATGTCATTTTTTTTATGTAGGGTAGTAAACTGTGGCTCTCTTAAATTTGAATATGATATTGCTTATGTTCTTAGTTTGGTACAGGTGTGATATTGTAAGTTAGCTGCTGCAGCCGGTGACGAATAAAGCCAAGTTATGCTTTCTATATGTATTTATCTGATAGTTTTTCACTTTTGTAATTGCCCCCATTGGAAACGCCTGCCCCTCCCCAAATATTAAGGAGACAGAAGTAAGAAGTTATTTTTGCGCTAATACTGCAGTCTCCCATCTGCTTCCACTTCCTCTCCCACTGGATCCATGGATGGATTTGATTCAGCAAATTGCTGTTCACCTTTGTTTGTGTGTATAAGCAAATCCAGATTAAGTTGGGGAAAGGTCACCCAGATTAATGGAGCAAAAGGTAGCCCTAAAAGACAGAGAGAATTCTGCAGCAGCTGTACAAAGCCACTGCTTACTGTTGCTGAACGGCTTGCATGCATTATCACTTCCAATATAATGTAAGGCAGGCTGGGATTCTTGCTACTGGACGTTATTTTTAATTTGGTGTTTCCTTTATAGGGAAATCTGCTAGCTGTGGGGACAGATGATGGTGACGTGCAAATCTGGGACCCTGTGGCAAAGAAGCCCATTAAAATGATGGAAGGCCAGTCAGGAAGAGTGGGTGCACTGGCATGGAATGGAGATGTTGTGACATCGGGAAGTTTTAATGGGCTCATCATGAAGCGTGACGTGAGCACGCCTAGCCTTGTTTTAGAAAGAAGATCAGCATTTCATGAAAGAGAGGTAAGTAGGAAGTGACTTGTCACATTAAAGTGGTTCACACACATTGGTGCACTTCACCAGTCTGAGAGAGAGTCTGTTCCCCAAACATGTCTCCACAAGAGCCTGTGCCTACCCATGGCGTTTTAATTGCTCCTAACTCTGCTACCTCTCATTACAAAGCGTGCATGACATTTAGAATACTGTTCCTTATGTAATCTAACATCGTCTGTGGAGACATGAGAAATCAATAAATTCCAAGATTTTTCCTGCCCTCAGCCTCTATTACTAATGGCTGAGCAGACAGATATATATATACAGGGGATGGACAAAAATATGGAAACACCTTAAGAAATGCATGCCTGAATTGAAGTGTTTATTTTAGCGACGTTTGTAGGTGACACTATCTTATCTGCCCAACACCACTACCTGTAGAACCTCCGCAACATGTTGCAAGCTTCATTTGTTGTCGAGACAGTTTTCTGTGCCGTTTTTAGTGTATCATGTCAGAGCTAACAAAATTCGAATGTGGGCAAATTGTTGGGGCCTGTATGGTGGCTGCTTCCTTAACCAAGGTAGCCGGGGTTTTTGGTGTTCCGCGAGGCACATTATCCAAGATTATGACCTCATACAGGAGGACTGGAAAAACTGCATCCAATAAACACCAGCGTGGACGGAAATGTGTCTTGAGTGATCGAGACAGATGAACATTGCGTAGGATTGTGACGAAAAATAAGAAGACTACAGCTGCAAAAGTGGCTGCTGAACTGAATGTCACACTCACAAACCCTGTCAGCACCAAAACAGTACGAAGGGAACTCCACAAGCAGGGTATTCCTGGATGAGCTGTATTTCCAAAGTCACTCATCAGTGATCAGAATGCCACTAAGAAGAGCATATGGTGCCGAAGTCATAAAATCTGGTCTAGGGAGCAATGAAAGATGGATGAGTCCACCTTCACACTGTTTCCGACTTCTGGCCGAGTTTACGTCGGAAGAACGCCATCCCAAGCTTATGATCCAGATTGTTTGCTGCCAAGAGTGAAACATGGCTGGGGTTTGATCATGGTATGGGCAGACATATCATGGTATTCTGTCAGACCCATCATTACCCTGCAAGCTCATGTCACTGCCAACGACTGTGTGACCATTTTGGGTGACCAGGTCCATCCCATGTTGCAAACTTTGTTCCCCAATGGTGATGCCATTTACCGAGACGACAGTGCCTGTGTTCACACAGGTCACATCGTCCAGAACTGGTTTTTCAAGCATGAAGATGAAGTGTCATGTCTGCCATGGCCCCCAAAATCGCCAGATATCATCATTATTGAGCCTTTGTGGTTTGTTTTGGAGAGCAATCTGTGTGCGTGCTATCCACATCCATCATTGTTAACAGAACTTACCAATGTTTTGCAGGAAAAATGGTACAAAATTCCCTTGCAAATTATACAGGACCTCTATTTATCCATTCCAGGGAAACTGCAGGCAGTTCTGCAAGCCTGAGGTTGTCCTACACCATATTAGTCACAGTAATGTGTTTTTAGTTGAGTGTTTCCATATTTTTGTCCGTCCCCTGTATATATGTGGAGCCCTGGTTATATTTAATTTTCTGTTACTGTGCAATGCCTGCTATTGGTGAAGTCTCAGAAATGTATTGCGA